TCCTTGGAACCTAGCGGTCGCTAGGTTTGAACTTAGGACGCCTAGGTTTCAGCCGCTGAAACCTATTGGTCGTTGGGTTTGAAGCCAAGACGCCTAAGTTCTAGCCATTGGAACCTAGCGATTGCTAGGTTCAAAGCTAACTAATTTTTTGTTCTGTGTAAAAAATAAAAAGATTTTCTCTTTTTTGTGGGTTTTGTTATTTGATGATGAAGAAGAATGGAATTCCATTTCATTGAGTTGATTGTTTGATTCAAAAAAATGGTGATGAAAGTTGAATCAAAGAAGGCAAAGAGAGAGAAGAGGATGTTGGAGGAAGAAGATAAGGGCAAAATTGTAATTTTGGTGGGCTCCACTTTTTTTTTTGGGTGTTAGGCGAGAATATAACATGTCATGTTTCCATGTTCTCATTTGTCCATTTGTACATTTGGCACGTGTCAAATTTTTGACATATCATTAAGTTCCTATGAGTTAATGATGGATTTTTAATTGAAGGACTAAGTTGGGGCCAAATTGGTAAACAGGAATGACCAAATCAAGGGTTTGTATAGTAGTTTAAGGACCAAAATGATGGTTTAACCATAAACAAATGAGACAGTATATGATCATCCAGTAATCAACAATATATATAATTTTGTAAGAAAAGAGAAACTACAAAAAACCCCAATTATTTGTGGTAATGGGAGTAATGTTGCTATAAAGGTAGTAGAGGGAGATTTGGATCACAAATCTCCATAGAGAAGAAAAGATGAGGTCATATAAATCTAAAACTAAAGGAAAAAGGAAAATTCTTGGTGCATAAATTGATTGTTTGTCAAGAGGCAGTAGTAGGTCTAACCCTAGCATTGTGATGTAGAGGCTGTGGAGGTGGAGGTGGAGGCTAGATTTGGATCTACAACAAGAAGAAAAGGTGGTATCTTGTAAATCCAAATCCAATGAAAAAAAATTGGGTGCAAAAACTAATCGCCAACATTGTCCTAAAATCTAGGCAAGGTGGCAACGGTCAGCTCCTTTGGCCGATGTGGTGCTGTGGAGGTGATGGAGGTTGGATATAGGGCACAGATCTACAAGAAGAAATAGGGATGAGTTATTATAAATCCAAGGAAAAAAAAGCTCAAAATAGACTGAAAAAGGTGTAAAATTACCATCATCGATGCCAGGATTTAGTGACTAGGTGGCACGTGGGTCAACTCCTCAAATTGGCACATATGGTGACAAGTAACCTCGTTGGAGAAGAAAGCAAATCGATGAGAAAAAGAGAAGGGAAGAAAGAAAAAGTCAAGGGTATAATGGAAAAGCCATAACCAATAGCTCCACAGTACCCTACAAGTATTAAAATGACATGGTTTTTAACTATAATTGACAATAATTTTATTGATTATGTTCAATATATAACCAACAACCAATAGTTTTCAATTAAATATAATTGATAGCCAGTTTTTAAAAGTTTGTCAATTGTAAAAAGATTAAAACTACATTTTGGTCCCTGAACTATTGTATGGACCCTCAATTTAGTCCTTAGACTAAAAAAATCCTTGATTTGGTCCGTATTGTTTACCATTTTTACCTCGATTTGGTCTTTCTGTTAAAAATCTTGTGATGTGGTTTGTTACTTCACGGTTACAAGATGACATGTTAAATATCAAGACACGTGGAAGATAATATGACAAAAAAGAGATGACATGGAAAAAATAATAATATACAAAATATTATGAAAAATAAAACTTTAAAAATTCTTTC